GACGAAGACCGGCTTGCCATTTTAAAGGGGGTGGCTACGTTCAAAGTCGGACCTCAGGTAAACTTCTGACGAAACATCCCTAACTATCCAAATGGACTTTGCATGGGCTCTTTGGAAAACACAAAAACCAGCCACCTTTTCTCAGAAAGCAAAGAATTATCTCCTTGACATGAGCTGGACAAAAGATATGTTGCGAATTGGAGACCCATTTCTCGGTTAAACGTGGATGTTAAGATTGCGTCCAAAGCTATAACATTAAGACTCGAGAAAAGTTCTTTCCGACTTAATTAGTGCTGAACAGTGCGCATATGTGAAAGGAAGGAACATCTTTGACGCAGTACGAACTATAGGTGATATTATGGACTATACAAAGTTATACAATCTCCCCGGTCTCATGGTGACCATTGACTTCGAGAAAGCGTTTGACTCCTTAAGTTGGAACTTCCTTTTTAAGACCTTGGAAAAGTTCAATTTTGGAGAATCCTTTATCAGGTGGATACGTCTTTTCTATACTAATATATCCAGCTGCATTATGAATAATGGTGTAGCAACTCCTCTTTTTTCAATCGGAAGAGGGGTTAGACAGGGACACCCTCTCTCGCCCTATTTATTTATTTTAGCCTTGGAAACCCTCCTTACCGCTATCAAACAGACTCGAGATATAAAAGGTATAGTAGTAGAGAACAAAGAAATCAAATGTATCACTTTCGCCGATGACTTAACAAACTTTTTACGCGATAAGGAATCTTATGACTCTCTTAGTTCCTTTTTGAACACATATGGTGAATGTTCAGGGCTTAAACTAAATAAGGACAAAAAAGAAGCCTACTGGTTAGGAAGTTCCTATCGAAATCACGAAGCTCTCGATATTAATAAGGTGAATGAGCCAATTAAAATACTAGGTATATTTTTCACTTATGATCAGCGTAAAAGCAGAGAGCTTAACTTTGACCTTACTTTTAAGTCAATAAGAAAGTCCTTAAGTTGCTGGCAATGGAGAAACTTAACATTAATTGGTAAAATTCAATTAGTCAAAACATTTGCTATGCCTAAGTTTATGTATCGGGCCTCCTTTATCTCTTTTGATAAGGATATAATTAAAAGCATAAATTCTGTGATATTCAATTTCGTGTGGAGAGGCAAAGACAAAGTCAAAAGACTAGCCTTAATTAGTGAATACGAAGACGGTGGCCTCAAAATGCCTCACCCTGAATCTTTAATTAAAACTCAAAGAATTGTGTGTCTTGCAAGGTATTTAGATGATAATAGGAGTCCGTGGAAGTTTTCTTGTCTCATTATCTTAAGAATGTAGGAACCAGTTTTCTGCTGCAGTGCAATTTCAATCCATCGCGCCTACCCTGTAAACTACCTTCTTTTTATAAAGAATGTCTTGAAGTTTTGTCTGACTTTAATGGCAATCACGATATAATAGCTACAAAACAGGACGTTTTAAATGTGACTATCTGGAACAACCAGAACCTCTTGATTAACAAGAAATCAATATACAACAAGAGAATAAAAGAAGCAGGTTTTGTGAAACTTGGAGATATTCTCTCAAATGACTCAAAATTAAAAAGGTGGGACGCTTTTAGAGAGAAAAATCTCTCCTTGTCAGATTACTTACTCCTACAAGGCATTTTTTTCCGCCATTCCGCCTAACTGGAAACAGCTCCTTAACGTTGGAGAGAATAATAACAACCGAATTGACAAAACTGTTTCAGACGATGTTCAAGATATAACTAGAATGACTTCAAAATCAATCTATTCCACCCTGGTCAAACGAATCCAGATTTCTCCGACTGCCCAATCTAAGTTTAATTCCGTATATAATATTTCAGGTAATATAGACTGGAAAAATATTTATCTATTGCCGGGTCGAGTCACTCTTGACACCAGAACGAGAGCCTTTCAATACAAAATCTTAAATCGTATTCTCTACACCAATAAAATCCTATATAAAATGAATTTAGTTCCTTCTCCGATGTGTACCTTTTGTGGAGATCACGAAGAAACCCTTGAGCATCTTCTAATCAGCTGTACCTACACTAAAAACTTTTGGCTTTCGGTTATTTCTTGGTTAAATACTTACAATATGAAAATTGATAAGCTTGATGAGGTAACAATCCTCTTTGGTATTTCCGATAATAACCCTGGGAATTGTTTGTTAAATCACATAATCATTCTTGGAAAATATACCATTTATTCATGTCGTTGTAAAAATATCAAGCCGTCTGTATCCTTACTGAAGGCTAAAACATCTGAAACTCGGAAATTTGAATTTTTGATTGCAAAAAAAAAAGAATAAAAAGAATCTATTCATTATAAAAAATGGGAAAACATGTTATTGTAACTCAATAGATGAGTATCGGGTATTAACAGTTATAGACGCAGTTGTATATACAGTCGTTCTACCAAAAAGGAATTTGATGTAGAAGTATTTGTACAAATTAGGCTTATATTATTATATAACCACAACATAAATTAAATCTAGCCGACTGTGAATGTAATGTAATGTAGTATTTCGTAATTAGTGTTAGTGAGTAGCGTAAGCGTTAGTGTAATTAATTTTGTATTTGTTTGTATTACTCTAGTATTTGTGCTTTAAGTGAAAATAAAAAAAAATGTTAAAAAAAAAAAAAAAAAATTTTAAAGGGGGTGGCAACGTTCAAGGTCGGACCTCAGGTAAACTTCTGACGAAAAATCCCTAACTAGCCAAATGGACTTTGCATGGGCTCTTTGGAAAACACAAAAACCAGCCACTTTTTCTCAGAAAGCAAAGAATTATCTCCTTGAAATGAGCTGGACAGGGGAGGAAACTAGTAAGGCAACCGCCTCTAACAAGGCAGAAGATAAGGAGTGACCTTGCAAATTTAGACGAAGACTGCAGGAGAGGGTACAGCTGCTATTAAGCTAAAAAAAATTAATAAAGATCTTTGCATCAGACTTTTCAAAGTTGTCAAATATTTGGATGAATCGAAAAGTCTAAAAACTCAGTCGTTTATTTGCCTCTGTTGATTGACAAGCCGTCAATCAAATTGACTGATACTTGAGGTGGACATTAACTAAGGATCAAGAAAAACCGGGGGGGTGGTCTATATCCCCCTGGAAAAAACCAAAACAGAAACCAGTTTGTCGTTTTTAGTTTTGGGGTAGATCCTTTAACCTGGCAAAGTTTCGTTGAAATCGGTGAGATGGAATGTGCACGACTGCCCGGTGCTACATTCCATTTTTCTCGGATTTCTTCGACAATTTTTACCAACAGAATTCCAACCTACAGTTGATTTGAAAATGTATCTAAACAGGTGGACTACACAAACATACTATTTTAATTACAGTGACAGCGGTAGAAATCTATAAAAGCAACCGGGCAAAACACCGAGGTTCATGCACAATTAAGCGAGTATTTTCATGCGACAACTACATGTTTCGAATATTTTATGTGTGCGAAGATTTTATTTAGCTCACGCTCACGTATTTACAACAACATTTATAGTTACATGTAATTTACTCTAAAGTCATGCCAGTGGGATAGATTGTAAATTAAAGAACAATATATGCGACGGGCCAATTTCAGCTAAAAACACGTCGACAGAGCTGGTATCTCTGTAAACAGCGATTTGTTTATTTAGCACTCGAGAAAAGTCAACTCAAAAACTTTACCTAAAACGGTGGTTTGTTCACTTAACAATAAAGGTAGGTTAATTTTTAAGTTAAAATGGATATATTTAAATGAATCAAAACTGAAGTAGAGACCAAACACGTCGAGTTTTGTCCCAATAGCGTGCGATTTACAGTAGGAGTACAGCAAGAAAAATGGCCTAACTCCGTGAAAATGCACGCTATATATTTTGGTCTGGCCCGCTCGCTTTTCACGGGCCAAAAATAATATTTTTACATGATAAACACGAATACTTTCTCGTTGAAAAGAGCTCTTTTATTTTATGTACATTTGTATACCCCTGATGTTGTGGTCGTGTGAAATATAGCAAAATTCAGCGTACAAACGGAATAGAAAATATAGTATATTTCACGCGGGTGGTTACAAACGAAAGAAAGTCCACTTGGAGATGAAATATAGTTGCAAAGCTACTCCGAGGGATGAAAAACAACTTATGAAAAAATGAATCTAAGATAATTTTTCTTTGTCTTGTAAGAGCGTTGTGAAAATGCACTGAAAGCCCAATGGAAATTATGCAAACTAGGTACGTTTTGGCCGATTTCGAACTTTCGTATTTTTTCCCAAAATAAAAACTCGCTGGAACTTTTGAATATTATTTATGAAAACAATTCACCAAAAGGGTCTTTTGGAGCAAATAAAAAAAAAAGTTGAACTTTTGCTTCTGTCGCCGGATTCTCGAAAATTACTGACAACCTCTCTTAACAATCAAGCTCCTGTACTTGTTGATCATTTCTGTTATTCTCGTGACCTTAATGTTTGATTCAGGAGTGATATTGTGAGGAGAAATTAGATGCTAGTCACTCTTTGGGGTTACAAGGTTAAATTGATAAAATTACTGGGGTATCTATGAATATACAATGGTTTGCATCACTGCACAAAAATATCTCTTTTTCTTTTCTTTAAATGTGTTTAATTAGGGTATTAAACCACAATATTTCTTGTCAAAAGCCTTGCAAGAAATTTCCAAAAATTTAAGCTTAGAAAATCTTCTTTTCCAAATCACACATTAGTTTTAAAGTCTCTTCAATTGGCTAACTAATCACCTTTGAAAAGGATTAAGAATTTCCTTGAAGAACTTATCGCGTTCGAAACCTTGCCTTGTTCACTAAAATAATGACTTCGGAACTCTTATAAAGAGATAATACTATACACTGTCTTGTTTCAGATTATTAAACTTAGATGTCTGATGAGAATTTTACAGAAATGTCTTCCTCTGTGTATCGATTCGAGTTGTCCTTCTTCTACAGGCTAGTAATTAAATAGTTAGTAATTAAAGAGTCTGGTTCATTCTCCTACAGAGGATTTATCCAAGTCATGTCTTTTAAGGTACGTTAGGCACCGGCCAATTTCCAAAATCAAATTTCACGTTGTCGCCTATGATCATAAATGGCGCCCATTGAGAAACTTTGTCAAAACCGTTGTTTCTCATCCACTTTCTGGCCTTATGGAGAGATTCACTGACGCTTTCACCGCGGAACAAATGTCTGTAGAAACAAGTCATGAACTGCTCTGTGGCTGTGTCATCCAGGGCCCATCGTGCCGCTAACACTGAGCGAGCTCCGGCTCCTAAGAACGCTCGGGCAATTCCGATAACTCCCTCGGTTCTAATGTGTCCGCGAGCACTGTGACAACAACTAAGAACCACTAGTTTAGCTCGCAACCTAGTTTTTGAAATATCCGCCATCGTCAAAAGATAATCTCCTTCTCGAGGTAAAGGTGAGAGTGGGGAACGGTACTTAGGAGAAAGAGCAATCTCCCCTCTTTCAGCATCACCATGGGCAGCAATGTGTATCAAGCTCACTGAATTTATCGTTTGAAGTACAGAATGCTTTGTCGCGGAATATCCTATTAAAGGTGTTACGCCAAGAAGTCTTCCAATCATCTCTGCTTCCTTTCTTGCACACGGCAATGGTGCTATATTTCTGCGCCTTCCCTTGTAAATCACCTCTCCAACCACAGGGTCACCCACTATCAGTGCCCCGGTCTGACTGTGATATTCTGGAGGACTGTCTTGAACAAGCTTGAGAGTACTCAGAGAGGGAACTATCCGAATCCTGCATGTCTCTGATAAATACTTGCCTCCTTCGTCAGCCAAGGCTGTAAATGGCACTTGGTACACACAGGAATCAGGGACAATTATGATCTCGGGCTGCTTCAGTAAACTGGCTACAGGAGCGATGATTATCTTGTAACACAAGTCAAGACTTGTTTTGAAATCTTTGGAATCATAGTCACGCAGCACTGAGCGCTTGTCGTGGGGAAGTGACGTCAGTTCGGTGTCATCTAAAGATCGATCTTCGCAATTCTGTTCGGGTGAAATGGCTTGGCTGCGGAAGGCTTCTTTAAAAAACTCATCTAACTCAGGGACTATTCCGGTCACCTTGTTTTGGTCCAGCTTCACTTTCTTTTCTAAAAACTGAATGGCTCCCGTTGCTTTAATTATCCAAAACCGTACATCATTTTGACCAACCGAAATGTACAGGCATGCACATTCTGCTTCTTTTGTGATGATCCCTTGAATGCCACACCAAGATTGTGGATCGCTTGAGATCTGCTCTTGAACAGAGTACCGAGCTGCCATCAAGTCGGCCAGGCCCCTTGCCCTTGTCAGCTCTTCGACGTAAAGGGCATCTTGCGACTTTCCAGTGGAAGAAAGCAACCAACTGAGGAACTTGTAGGGAAAGGTGCCGTGCTTTTCTAAAAAAGATATTTGAAACTGATCGTTTTCTTTAAGAAAACCTCTCAAAGTGTCGAATTTTTGGATGGCTTGAAAAAGATGCAAAGAAGCCTCTTCAAGATGACATTGTGACGCCTTTAACACCGATAGATGACAAAGACACTGAAACTCCTTCAAGTTGTGTCCAATATCCCTACTTAAAAGGAGAGCCTGCTTAAGGTATTCTTCAGCCATGTCATATTTACTTTGCAATTGGAAATAGAATCCTAAATCGCTGTAACTGGTTACTAGTCCTTCTCTCTCACCGATTTTCATGTAAATTCCAAAGGCTTTCTTGAAATATTCTAGAGCCTTGTCATATTCACCACGCTTACAAGAAATTAACCCAAGTTGTCTGTAATCTGCTGCTTCTCCGCTTTTATCGCCGATACCCTTTCTAACTGCCATTGCCTTATCTAGATATTTGTCAGCCTCTCCATACTTGCCGAGCAAGAGAAACAAACCTGTGAGGTTTCCATAACTAACTGCCTCTCCTCTTTTTTCGCCAATTTTCTTTTGGATAGCGAGTGCTTTCTCCTGATATTCTCGGGCCTTGTCATAATGACCAAGTGATTGGAACAAAGTTCCTAGGTTTCCGTAGCTTGTTGCTTCTCCATGCCTGTCGCCAATTTCTATTTTGATAGCGAGTGCTTTCTCCTGATATTCTCGGGCCTTGTCATAATGACCAAGTGATTGGAACAAAGTTCCTAGGTTTCCGTAGCTTGTTGCTTCTCCATCCCTGTCGCCAATTTCTATTTTGATAGCGAGTGCTTTCTCCTGATAAACTTGGGCCTTGTCATAATGACCAAGTGATTGGAACAAAGTTCCTAGGTTTCCGTAGCTTCTTGCTTCTCCATGCCTGTCGCTAATTTCTATTCTGATAGCGAGTGCTTTCTCCTGATATTCTCGGGCCTTGTCATAATGACCAAGTGATTGGAACAAAGTTCCTAGGTTTCCGTAGCTTGTTGCTTCTCCATCCCTGTCGCCAATTTCTATTCTGATGGTGAGTGCTTTCTCCTGATATTCTCGGGCCTTGTCATAATGACCAAGTGATTGGAACAAAGTTCCTAGGTTTCCGTAGCTTGTTGCTTCTCCATCCCTGTCGCCAATTTCTATTTTGAGAGCGAGTGCTTTCTCCTGATAAACTTGGGCCTTGTCATAATGACCAAGTGATTGGAACAAAGTTCCTAGGTTTCCGTAGCTTGTTGCTTCTCCACGCCTGTCGCCAATTTCTATTGTGATAGCGAGTGCTTTCTCCTGATATTCTCGGGCCTTGTCATATTGATTAAGCGATTGAAACATTCTCCCGAGCCCTATGTAACATATTCCCTGGCCATGTGTGTCTCCAATCGTTTTCATGATGTTGATTGCTGATTCGTAAAAGTTCCAGGCCTCCATGAACTTACTTTGTGCCCGAAGTATTTCTGCCAGTTTTAAATGTACCCATCCTTTTTCAGCGGAGTCATGAGAGCCTAGGTAGAGGAGGAGTTCTTTAAGGTAGTTTTCTTTATTTGTGTAATCCTTTATAAAATCGTAAGCACAGATTATTGCCAAGTAGATGGCACAGAACATAGTGTTTGCCAATGAAATATCGATTACCAGCACCTGACTATGTATTATAATCAAACATTCCTTGTATACTTCGATGGCTTGCAACACGCGACCAGTTTCGCGAAGGAAGTCGGCGACCACCATACCTATGGAGATAGCTGATATGGCTTCTTTTACGCTGTCCATCTTGACCCTGTTTCTTCTCAGTTTGAAAAAAAGGAGAAATTAGGGAAAACTTAAACACGGACTGTTTGTAAAAGATCTTTTAAGTTTTAAATTTCAAATTGCAATTTTTATCTTCCTCTCCCCGCCTTGTATTTTTTTTTTCGTATTAACAGGCGGTGCACGTGATTTCACAATTAGCAAATCACGTCGAAGAACTCTAACCTTGACATTGGAAAACTGACGTGGACATTTTTGGCGTAGTTTTGTTGCTTGTTTTAACGGAGTTTAGATAATTGTTTTTGAGGTTTTGTTCGCACTATTTTTTGAACCCTTGGTTTTGAATTTTGAGACATTTTAATTTAAGCAAAATGTTGTGGTTCATTTAACAAGTTTAAAACATATTTTCTGTGGAGTTTGGACTCAAGCGTCTTTTTTTTGTAAATGGATTTTTTACATTGTCCGTCAAAGAGGAACACACCTTTGTCCTCTGTTCTACTGGAGTGTCCGTTACACTGTCACGCCAATCACGAAAATCAGAGACCAACCGGAAAATTTAACTGGATAACAGAACACAACAAGTTTTATTTGACCTGCTGATTCCTACTTAGTTTACAGTAACTCAATTCAATTGTCTGAGGGAGCAATGCTCTTAACCAAATCGATTTACTGGGCTCTCAAGGGAGCTATTGTTCCAGAAATTAAATAAGAAAGCAGGTTTCCCTTGAGCTGCTTCCTAAATTAAAAAGATTTTATGACGCATAGATGTTGCATGTGTTCGGAGAATGTTCCATATAAGCTACCTCTGTGTGAAGGTCCTGTACTTTACGGAGTGTTTGTAAAAATTTTCCGTGAATAATCAATACGAACTTAATTTGATGATCTTGCATTTTGATTGTGTATATCCTTGAAACAGATGCATTATTTGTCGATGTTTTTGGAAAAAATATCATAAGGTATCGATACATAAACAATGATTTTTTCCCCTAATATATCTCATTCAAAAGAAGAAGTCGTAGTTTCTTTTTAAACAGGGGAGGGAACAGTGAGATTTCTATATGCTGTTAATGTTGTTATTCTTATAATTTTCTTTTGTAGCTTTCATAACAATACTAGTGTTGTTTGGATTTCTAAAACAGTCAGCATCGATGCAAATTACCTTTTGAAGTTAGAAACGTTCCTTGTTCATTTTGATGAAGGCTAAGGGACTTGTATAAGATCTTCCGAAGGAGATCAACGTTTTCCTGGAAAAAAAAGAAGGAAAAAAAAATCCTTGTTAAAAAGTCAGGAATTTATCAAAATTATTTTTTTGTCCCTTGTCACGCCATCAAACTGAAAATAACCGGAATGAATCGGCTTAAAGCCAAGAAGCATCGAGAAGATTTATACCAATCTGGCAGTCTTTCTTTCGGAGTCAATTATTTGCACTGAATAGGAGATCGCCAAAATTTCGGACAAAAATCGATGGGGTGCAGTTTGAGGAGGCCAATTTTGTTCCCTTTCATAGTCTGCAAATGTAATGAGCGTAAAGGAAATAAATATTGTCTCTTTTTGTCATAAAAATAATAAGTTGCCCGTAACGTTCTAGCAACGGATAAGTTATACCCACCCCACGGGTCTTATACCCACCCAGGAACAAACACTTATGAACACTTATCAACCCACTCGTTCCTCTTATTCACAACTTTGTCTTCGATGACGCAAATCGCACTTACTGGCAAATGAACAGTCAGAAGCCTATTACCCAGAGCCTCCATACCAATTTTTACTTGAGTCAACCCTGTACCGTATCTTTTTATTTTGAGAACTGAAATAGGTGGGGGGTTCTTTAATTTCCCGCGAAAACACGCTGACTTTCCGCCCATTTCTCCATTATTGAAATATTTTCGTGCGACCTGCATGTGACGTAAACAATAGATGACCACAGCTCTCCTATTATGTAAACACCCGCGAAAAACCCCGTGGGAGGTGCTCCTAAAAATAAAAGATACGGGACAGGGTTGACTCAGAGGGTAAGTATGGAAGTTGAAAGCTCCGGGTAATGTCCACCTAGAACAGCTCATAAAGAAATTGTCATCGAGAACAAATAGCTTATCGTTTCAAGACAGAAGCACCAATTCAGTATTGTAACAACTCTTGATTGTAATTTGTTGTTAAAAATCCAACGGTTCTTTTAAAACAATGTAAAAAGTTAGACGTACAAAACCGAAACACATTTACGTAGATTAGATGGCGCCGCTTTAAAAGTAGGATAACAAATATCCGTCTGTCCTTATCTTTCCTTCATTGGAAGGAACATAATAAAGTTTATTTAAGCTTTTGTGATGGACACTGGGAATTAATTTTTTTCACATAGCGGTTGGAATTCTGCGCGAGGTTGGTGCGTTAGTAGAAAAAAATCCATGGTGAAAAGTCGGGATTTTATCAACATTATTTTTTTGTCCCTTGTCACGCCATCAAACTGAAAATAAACGGACTGAATCGGCTTTAAGCCAAGAAGCATGGAGAAGATTTATACCAATCTGGCAAAGTCTTTCTTTCGGCCTCGATTATTTTGCACTGAATAGGCGATCGCCCAAATTTCGGACAAAATTTGATGGGGTGCAGTTTGAGGGGGCCAATTTTGTTCCCTTTCATAAACTGCAAATGTAATGAGCGTAAAGGAAATAAATATTGTTTCTTTTTGTCATTGGAAGGAACGTAATGAATTTTATTGAAGCTTTTGTAATGGACATTCTAAATTCATATTTTATTTTTCACATAACGGTTGGAATTCTGCGCAAGGTTGGTGCGTTAGTAGAAAAAACTCCATGATGTAAAGTCGGGAATTTATCAACATGATTTTTTTGTCTCTTGTCACGCCATCAAACTGAAAATAGACGGACTGAATCGGCTTAAAGCCAAGAATTATCGATAAAATTTATACCAATCTGGCAAAGTCTTTATTTCGGAGTCAATAATTTTGCACTGAGTATGTGATCGCTCAAATTTCGGACAAAAATGTTGTTCCCTTTCATAGACTGCAAATATAATGAGCGTAAAGTTAATTAATTTTGTTCCTTTTTGCCATGAAAATGATAAGTTACCCGTTGCGTTCTGGCAACGGGTAACCTATACCCACCCCACGGGTTTTATACCCACCCCACGGGTTTTATACTCACGCTAATTATCCCTTACTATTGGAAAGTAAAACCTCCGGAATATTCAGAGTATTCAGCAGTACCTACTATCAAAAGGAAAAATCACTCGTTCTTGGAAGGAAGTTTCGATGAGATCCACGAAAATAGTCTGTGGAAAAAGTTGACCTATTCAAGAAGGGGGTTTTTCAAGAATTTTCACATTCTAGAAAAGCAACAAGCTACGGAAACCTGGGAACGTTGTTCCGATCACTTGTTCAATATGACAAGGCCCGAGAATATCAGGAGAAATAGAATTGTCAACTTTTGATAATTCGGCTTATCGCTCGGTGCACTAACTGTTCAAGTTTAAATCGTTTGCTCGAATAAAGCGAATATATACACTCAAATAGATGACCGATGTTGTATATTCTTTTGAAAATTTTTCCTTGTAAGAGTGGGTACGGTTCATTATCCACCTTTCGCTCCCCTCCCTTGAAGAGGTTTAACTTGTTGATCATCACTTATAAGAAGCTAAGCGGGATCCTCTGGAAAATGAACAGCTCATAAAGAGATAGTCATCGAGCACAAATAGCTTACCGTTTCAAGACAGAAGCTCCGATTCAGTACTGTAACAAGTCTTGACTGTAATTTTGTGTTAAAAATCCAACGGTTCTTTCAAAACAATGTATACTGAGACCGGATGTTACCTACAGCCAAAGTGAATTGTTTCATTTTTGCATGCTCACATACATCATCGGTAAAAAAGTTTGACGAACAAAACCGAAATACATTTACGTAGATTAGATGGCGCCGCTTTAAAAATAGGATAACAAATATCCTCTGTCCTTATCTTTCCTTCATTAGAAGGAACATAATGAATTTCATTTAAGCTTTTATAATGGACATTGGGAAATCATATTTTTCACATAACGGTTGGAATTCTGCACGAGGTTGATGCGTTAGTGGAAAAAAACTTCATGGTGCAAAGTCGGAAATTTATCAAAATTACTTTTTTTGTCTCTTGTCACGCCATCAAACTGAAAGTAAACGGACCGAATCGGCTTAAAGCCAAGAATCATCGAAAAAATTTATACCAATCTGGCAAAGTCTTTATTTCGAGGCCAATTGTTTTGCACTGAATAGGCCACCGCCCAAATTTCGGACAAAAATTGATGGGGTGTAGTTTGAGGAGGCTAAAGTGAATTGTTTCATTTTTGCATGCGTCCTTCATCGGTAAAAAAGTTTGACGTAAAAACCGAAATATATATTCATCAGATGGCGCCCCTTCAAAAGTAGGATAACAAATATCCGTCTCCTTATCTTTCCTTCATTGGAAGGAACATAATGAAGCTCATTTACGCTTTTGTAATGGACATTCGGAATTCGTATTTTTCAAATAACGGTTGGAATTCTACTCGAGGCTGGAACGTTTGTAGATAACCCTTCGGCTAACTCAGAGGATGTCGGAATTTGATCTTCAGAGTAGGTAACTTGAAAGAAATCATCTTGTCCAGCGTCGGTTAAAATATCAGTTAATTCGTCGAATTTAGTCAATATTTGGTAGGTCTAAGTGGGGTTAAAAACGTTAAACCGACTTTGCCGTTTATGAATTTCTTTCAATCTCTATCGCACATATCAGAATTCTCTTCCATCAAGTCATTTTATCACATCATTCATAACTGAACGAGGTTTGAAGCAGTTTTAAAACCGATGCTCCAAGCTAAAACGATTTCCTTAGTCTGTCAAGGCAAATTAATGGAAGTGAATTAGTTGTTTTCATTTACAGCACTTACAACAACCTGTAGCCTTCTGGGTCCTTTTCGAGTGAGCGGAGACAAGCCTGGGGCGAGTTAGAGGAAGCATGTGAGGATACCGAGCCTCAAATCGATGCTTTTGAACGATTCTTTCAGATTTCTGATGGGATTGCAAGGTTTTCATGACAAGGGAATTTATTGGTATTCAGTAGTTTTTTATGTAGATGTTTGTGTTTTTAACCCTTTGAACCCTGGGGTTGACCAGTATTTAATTTCTCCTTACAATAATACTGCTGAGTCATTCATTAAGACAATGAGAATAAGGCAAATGATCACCAAATTAAGAACCTTTGATTGTTAAACAAATTCTCCTTGTCAGTACCAGAGGAATTGTACAGAGAAAAGTATGGAGAATATAGATACTGATGTTAGGGTGTAGAGAGGTTTAGGTTTCAGATAATGCAAAATGATCAAATTCCTTCTGGCATTAATAACAAATCAGAAAGCACATCTTGCACAGCAGTATTTTCAGTAAGGACTCTTTGTTTTGGCAAAAACGAGCTTTTCTGTTTGGAAAGGGTCGTGAGAGTGAAAAAGTTTTTACAACTAACAAGTTACAGTGTGTTATTTTCTGTTGCCACCATCCTCTGGATAAAAAGATGGTGACATAATGTACATTAAAATAGAAGCAAGTTTAGCAAAAACTGGGTGGGAAAGAATACATTTCCCTTTCATTCCCAAATCTCAGTAGAAATTCTCCTCACCATCTGTTGTACAATTCTTATTTTAGTTTAGAGAATTTGGCATTGGATCAACCAATAATCCCTAATTGAAATTTTTCTTTACTGTCATCACTTGTCTGCTTGATATTGTTTTGATATTGTGAGGAGAAATTTTGTCTTGGTCACTTATGGGAGTTAAAGGTTTACATTGACTTAATGAAATAGGATAATTCTCAACCAATTCTTTAAATTAACAAAAAACAAACAAACCAATGCTAATAAGAAATGTTTTTCTTTTTATTGCTCACGTTTTCCAAAGTAATGGCTCGTGTTAAAACTATTTCCATGCATGGCTATCCTGAACATATGAAGTAACAGAAGCCACTAAAGAACTGATATTATCTACTCAACATTCCATCTATCAACATCATGATCAGGCACACAGCCAAACATTATTCTTTAAGCAAAAGTTCTGATTTTAAGGTAAACGTAAGTACTAAAGTATAGCACAAATAATAATCTTAGTTACATCTGAATCAGCCTTCACTCTGAGAGTTGTTTTCTAGATCTTACTTAGTAATAAGAATAAACTTATATACATGCATATCCCAATGCTAGGGAGTAAGTTCTAGAAACCATGCATTTGTACTGGTCTGGTTTGGCCAATTTCAGCTGTTTCAGAAAATCACTGATATTCTGACGCTGGTCACCTTGTAGCTGTATCACCTCCCCATATTCTGGGTTTTCAACAACTGTTCCATTTCAGTTAAATTCCTTCAAAGGCGAAAAAAGAAAAAATATTGAACACATGGCCCTTCTTGTTTCAAGGGTAGTTATCGCTATCTACTGCACTTCCATGCTACAGTTTGCTTGCATTCAGAATATGGCGGTTTCAGAACACGCCAATGAAACAGGACATGTTCCTATTTAGGACCACATTAGGTACCGTATTTATTCACCCATAAGGCGCATCATTTTTTACGAGAAAATATGCTTGTTTGATCAAAATCTGCTCAAAACTTGGGTGCGTATTATAACCGAGTATTTTCGCGCAACAAAATATAACTTTTCCAAATTTCCCTAATAAACAGACGAGTATGTAAATAAATACCGGTAAATGAATAAATAAAAGACAAACAACGTTGATCATTGACTTTATCTGATTTATTGGTTGTAAAAAGAATCGGGGTGGCTATGAAAAGACCCGTTTGTTTGAAAGCTCGCGATCGGCTGAGCTCAGCTACTCGTCGCCTTCGGCTTCGCTGTCTGTCTCGAACTCGTTGTCAATCCGCTCTTCTGTGTCTTCTGCTTCTTCTTCCTCGTCATCCCAAACCGCATCATCTTCAGTTCCATCGAGAGCATTGCTGATGCCACAGGACATGAACGATCTCGTTATCAACTCAACTGGGATCTCTCTCCATGCTTGATCGATCCACCGCAACACCATCTCTTAACTGGGCGCTCGCTTCTTTCCGGAAGGCGTGTAGGTAAATGGGCCGTTAACCATCCAGGCTTCGTACTGCCCACGGACCTTTGCTTTGAATGGCTTACTGATGCACTTATCCAGGGGCTGGAGAACTGGAGTGAGCCCACCGGGAATTACGGCGGTATATTGACCATGACTCTCCTTGTAACACATGAAGGGTTAAAGAAGCCAACCACATTAGATTTAATCCTAATAACATCAATGGAGATCACTGAATTGTAATTCCTTACGTGTGGATGCCTTACTATCAAAAAGCATGGTAGCCGATAACAAAGTGAACCTATCAAGGGAACAACGTCCAGTTCTCAGAATAATAATGAGGATCAAAATGCACCAATGGCAGCGCGCCATAACCCACCAATAACATAAAACCAAGGTGCCACAAATAGCGACACATAAACTTTCAACCTTCCTTACCTGACAAAGTATAGCAGTCGAAACATTGCAATCAATGCACAATTGATTAGCTTGACTCTTACATCTTGGGACAAATGATTAAATTTCAATTCTCAATAAAAACAAAACTTTCTATAACTTTCCATAGCATAGGTAATGGTAAAACAGGGAGGATAAAAATGATTTAAGTAGAAAATTGTATTTGGTATTTTAGTCAGTGAGTCAGTGTCTTTAATAGGTGTATTTAGTGGTGCAAGAAAATTGATGGATTTAAATTATATGGATAATAGTGTTGTTGTTTTTTTTGTTAACTGTCAAAGGGACACTCTTGTTTGACCTTGATTAGTAAAAAGGTGGGTGGCTATGGTTTGAACTCTTACCCAGGCTATAGTTATAAGGTAAAATATTTTGATAAATACAATGTATGTGAGAAATATGACCTTTCACAAACCTTTTTAGGAAGGCTTCGTCTTGCACAACTAAATTACAGAGATGCCAACTCAAATCTGGAGATTTTTTTTCAGACTAGCACCCCTCCCGACCGAATTCGCCAATGCGCCCCCTCCGGGTAATTTTATTTTTGATTTGGACCCCTACAAGCAATTTTGCGGGAAAAACGTGGATATATCTGTCAGGGTCTTCAATTGGTTGAATGCTCATCCTATCAGACTCTCGCTTATATAGAGGAAGGGGACAGGGGAGCGGGAGCCCGGGAGAAGAGGGGACGGAAGAGGGCAGGAAGCGGGAGAACAGGGGGCGGGAAGCGGGATCTATATGAGGGTGGGAAGCGGGAGCAGAAATAAAGAAAGCAATAGTTTGTTCTTTATTACTTGGTATTATTCAGTCAAAAACACTCATCTAGCAAAGTTTTGAAATTTCCATTTAACATCCACCAATGTTAAGAAGAAAATTTTGCAATAGTTATTACATTACACAGTGGACTGAGACTTTCGTCTCTATAACGAGATGTCAGAAGCGATGGTCAAACTGTGATAACCAGGTTAGTGAAACTTAGTTTAATTAAGAAAACTGACCTGTAATGACTTTCATCGGGACCCAATTTACAAAAAAATGAACCAGAAAATGAACAAGAATGTTAAGTTTTGGCACAGTTTGAAAGTTACACCCGGGTGTCTGATCCTCTTGATTAACCTGAACACTGGAGCGATACTATGAAGGGTGGGAGTCGGGAGGTAAACGGGCACAAAAGTACGGGAGGCGAGAGAACGTGGTACGAGAAGCGTCTGTCTCCCCCTACCACCCCCCTTTTTCAGGAGTAACAAAAAAAAAACTTTCTTCTTTTTATTCGCAACAAATAACGTGCATCGCGCAAGAAAGTGAAGCCAGAAACCGTAATACAAGCATAGGAAGCCAGATGATTTTAGAATTTTGGAACATATGGAGCTTAAATCTTAGGAAGTTTGGATCGGTTGCCCGCAAAAAGTTTTTGCGGGCAACTGATCCAAACTTCCTTTGATCCGGGAGTTTTGGTCACCCGTAGGGAAGAACGAGAGATTGACTCTGTATAAGCGAGACACCCCGATAATCCGAGGGAGTTAGCATATATGAAATTAGAGGCATTTGATTTCCACAAAGACTTTCCTTTCAAGCTCCGACGCGACTGCGACAGAACACCATATACCCGTTTAAATTTTAAAATTGAGGTGGTCTGGTAACTACTATCATGGGGAAATGGCGCCTTTGCTAATTTTAGATTGTTTTGAAATTTTGCGCCACAATTTTCTCGTCGATCGGGCGATCGATCAATCAGTTGTACTCTCGTCGACTAAAGAGGATCATTTAATTCTGAGGAGAGTTTTCCGTAGCTGAAATGTCGAGTTTGGAAGGAGCTTTTGCGCCAATTGCCGTCCAAAGGTATGCGACTCTCCCTCGGAGATCGATGTTTGACTTAGTTTGTAAGTTTCTCTGACACTCGGCAATTTGACTTCCACTCCCAATTCCTTTTGGTTAAGAAGTCGAGCTTTTGAACTGTAGAAAGAGAATATGGGAAGATTTCCGCATAGCTTTATACTTGGATAAAGAAAACAATAGCGAAAACAATAGATTGCCTTTAACACCACGGCTTTATCCAAGAATCATGAGTATGGAGTTTTTCGGAAATCTCCGACTTTCTTTCACACAATCCAAAAGGATCCGTGTCTCACAAGAATTAAGGATAACATGACATCGAAAGATTACTGCAGCAGTCATAGAGATGATGAATTCTTCAGTACCACTGTTGTATATCAAGGATGAGAAGTTTGACTTCGGAACCGCAAGCTTTGATGGGGTTCATCTAACGCTTCCGCTTGAAAGGCAGTCTATGACGGCTCGTGCCTTCTGTTGTATAGTTGTAGAGTATTGCAGTAATAAACCTAGTGTGGTTTAAAATGCAGAGGGTTAATGAAAAGCTCATGTGGATGTCAAACTTGTGACAAAAGGGAACTTAGAACAGAGTTTGTACACAGGTCAATTGACAGGCTGGGGACAGGGAAGGAATTTAATAGATTAGGTACACTTATTAAATGTGCATCAAATTTATTTTACCTCAAAACTTCACATCTCGTCCGCTTTGCATACCTGGTACTATGGATAATACCTACTTGTCTAGTACTTGAAACCTGAAGTCTGCATGCACTGGTTGTGCAAATTGAAACATGCCTCAAGAGCAAAACCCTTTGAGTATAATGATGGTAACTACTCTATGCATAAATAAATGCCATCATGCATTCACACATTCACAGTTCAGTTCTTCTAGATTCACACATACTACATTCGCAACCCATGGTGCCACACACAATTGGAATAATTTAAATGCTGAGTCAAATACAAGAAAAAATAATTTTCTGCCCTTACTTTTGCACATAATTTATGTGCTTTATGTTAAGAACAAACTGGGATAGATAATTACTTTATTTATTCTGAATTTCAGGGGAACTGGCAGCTATTACAGAGGATATATTAAACCACCTGAGAGATTTATCAGTACCCAACTGTCAGGGGGACTCAGGGTGCTATATCAAAAGCTTGAAGAAAAAAACAAGGCTTGTGTAAGGAAGAAACTCTATTGCTCAGAGCGGCTACAATACCAAAAGGTTTAGTATGATTCTACAGTGCTGCCAATTTCACTGCCATTCTCCTAAGTTCTATTGAGTTAACAGGGAGACTCATCATCGGCTGATTCATCTACTGGGTGTATTTTGGTACATATTACTTGTACAACTCTTTACACTTATTTGAAAGGAGGCAAACAATAGGAAAAGTATTTGAATGTGCAAATAAGTCAAACCTCTCAATAGAAGACTAGGAAAAAATCTTTTCCATTATGGGGGGAAATCAAGTGTGGAATTTTTCTTGCATACTGTGCAGACGCCAGACAAGTCATGTTTCAATCTAATCCCAAAGAATAAGTGGATGATAGATTTTTTTATTTTTTTATTTTGATCATGAGGACAGTTGATATATTATTGCACATCAGCCCATGACTCTGCAGCCTAGTTTTGATTTGCTTTATGTAAAAATCAACATGGGAGAACCAGAATGTGTACACAGACTAGCTGTGTTGACATTTTTATTTAATTTTTTTTCCTTTTTTGCTCCAGTACTAGCATCACAGACTGGCAAAGATGGCAAATTCAAGCCTTGTTATCCAGGTAACTTCTCTGTTTCAGTTCAGTAGCTGCATCAATTACACTGAAGATTTCCAATCACTATATAAAAGCATCAGTTTCTGTAAAGCTTGAATTCAAAATCTAAAAACAGTGAATTAAAAAAGGTTTTTAAGTATGTATAGCTTGAACTAAAGAAAATAATATGATACAAAAATAAATTGTTATGGCAAAATGTATCAAATGAATACATTTTTTTTTTTTCAATTTTAATTGCTATTGATTTCTTCTTTATAATTTTCTTTCTGATAGTTCCATTACTTGCTGGAAATACAAATTTATTCAAGTTATTGGTGAAGGGGAATCATCGCTCTTGATTTCAGCAGAGGTAAGGCATACAAAATACACATACAGACTGGAAATTATGGTTTTTAATTACTGTAACTGTCTCTGGAAAATACCAGTACCTCCTGTTATACCTGTCAACTTTATACCTACATTTATATGAATTTTTTTCCGAAAGTGTTGTAAAACATCATTTTTGAAGAACCTATTAATTACTTTCAGCATATGGTTAAAAACTTGCCTCTTAACCCTTCAACTCCTAGAAATGATCAAAAAGTAACTTCTCCCTTCAATATCTTTACATTATATAGCAAACAGGTAATGAGATACTCAAACTGATCAGGAAGAAGTTGTTGTCTTGATCTAACACCAAATTCTAGTAATAGTTTAATAGAAAAGCTGCAGCAACTAGAGGGGAGAATTAACAATCTGATCTAAGGAGTTAAATGGGATAAGACATTCAAAGGTGTTTGAAATGCAATTCAGAGGTGTATCATATGTTTCAATTAAGATAACCTCTTCCATAGCTTCAAAGGCCCATATTCCTTCTAGAAACAGACCAAAACATTTGAAATCCAAGGGGCTGTGTTGCTTAATTCCAATCTCAGCTTCTATTAAAGACAATGTTTCGTGATGGAGCTTTTTGTGATTGGATAAAAACTGTTCAGTTCACACAGTATGCTTGTATATTCACCAAAGCTAACATTCATGTAATTTTCTTTGTAAAGGATACATACCATTTTGAAAAGAAGCAAGTTGCTATAAAGATAATGAATTTGGATTATTCCAGACTTGGAGCTCAGGTACACTGTATCTGTTTATAGAGTTTAATATGCATACAGCTGTAAGTGATAAGGTGCATTTCAGACAAGCAAGCTACAAATAAATCTGTTATATGCAGAGCTGAGAGTGCTACTGAAACTGCATCTACTGAAAAGAGCTTGTATGCAAGCATGTGTACCTTGACATGAGGTATACATTGTCAGTGGAAACTGTTCAAGATGAAGTGTACATGTTCATGCAAAGATCTTTGGGTTGATTTCCTGCAAGGTAAATTAGATTAACTTACTATCTACTTTGTATTACATGAGTTTACTTTTTATTTACAAAACTGTTGTAGGAGGCAGATTGCATTCAACAGCTCAACAAGGCTGATCCTCTCCATGTTTCCAGAACTGTCCAGTTGTTTGTAAGTCATGAATGTACAATCCTTTTTTAGTACTGAATCACATGAAACAAAATATTTGCATGTTGTTAAATTGGACTGATTTTATACAGTCACCGTAAGTATCACTCCACCTTTTTGATACCATATGAAAAATCATGAAAAGAGAAGAAACTGACCCTACTGAAGGACAAAAATGATGTAAACTCAACATTATTAAACACCACTGGCCTTAACTGACAAGGCAATTCTACCAATGACCTTGGATTGAGAATGGTGAATGCTTTGCCTTTCATCCATCAACTTGATAGAGTGGTGCAAACTAGGTTTTTTGCATGTCAACACTTAGTTGGCAGTATCAAACATGCATGAAAAATTATTGTAATTTACTTGACAGTTACAGCTTTTCTTGTAAAACACCACAGTCTTAATATTATGATTTCCAATTGGTTCTTTGTTTTACAATAATTATAACATAGCACTGATATATTTGGTACATGAGTACAAGAATGTATTCTATGTAGAGGACCCAGTTCACTGACCTTGCATTTTTGCCAATTTGACATATTTGCTTGTGGATTTTTAGAATGTTTTCAGTTTTGAGGGCCATTACTGCTTGGTTTTTGAGCTGTTGAGACCTCGGCCACTCCATCAATACTTTCAGGTTGGTTAAATTATAAACAGTTTGATTTAGTATTATCAACTGAGTTGGTAACGTAAATTGGCCTCTGTTAAGAGTTTCAAAGCTGATGTTTCAAGCATTAGCCCTTTGTCAAAGGGAATGGTGAAGGGCTAACATTCGAAATGTCAGCTTTGAAACTCTTAATGGTGGCTAATTTATGTTATCAACTCAGTTAATAATACCAAATTACCTTGTCATACTCTCCCACTAATACAGTGCCATTGTTTGCTTTATAAATTTACTGGCTTTATTGAATTATAAACATGCTATTAAGGAATCCAAGAGCTTTCCCTTTAAATCAATTATTCTACTTTGTACTGTTGTATCTCTACTGATGTAAGTATTATATTTTAAATCATCTTCTTCACAGAAATGTCAGTTTGATAACGAGGTAAGAGTGTTTAATGTATTACCATCTGTGCATTGTATGTTTTCATTGTTAAATTGATTGTCACCTTTGTTAACAACATGATTGATTTAATATACATTTTTGGCAAGATCAACATCTAACCATGTACATTCTGTAATATCAGTCACTCAACAGTGTTTTCTTGATTTTGTTTACTATTAGGATGACGAACTGAAAGTCATCAGGAAAATAACTTTTCAAGTGAGCAAACCTTTTTTTAAATTCTTATAAATACTTTTGATTTAATTTATTTCAAATACAATTGCATCAGTTTTCTTTTGTCAGCTATAAAAACTTACAAAGACCATTTTAAAGTTAGCTTTAATGAAGATGAAACTTGTTGTGCATCAAATTTATTGAAATCAAAATAATAGTTTTTTTTCATATAATAAATTGATGTGGTTATTTGCTTGTAGCTCTTACAAGCTCTTGGATTCCTAAGGAGGTAAGATTATCAATAGGTGTTCTTCTTAGACTCTCTAGAATTACTCATCTGTACCCACAAGTGGCTTCATTTTATTTCATTGTTAAGGGAATCTTCTCGTGCCCATCTTTTGGTGATGCCACCATGTTGTTGCAGGTTGGAAGTGGGATGTTTATTCTGCATTTTGGCAAATAAAAGGGGATCTTTTTCAAAGGGGAGTGATCATTTGAGAGGAGGGACTGATTTCAGGATTTTATGTGCTTTGATCTCATTCTTTTTTCCATATGAATCCACAGACAGAATGTCATCCATGCTGACTTGAAACCAGAGAACATTCTTTTTGAAGAAGGTGAAGTGGGGTGTTTGCAACAAATTGTCAAAAAATTTGATTTAACTTAATGGACTTAAAAAGTCTTCCTTTTTAAAGATAGTTGTAATATTTTGATCTGGTTAAATATAAATAACAGCTGTACATAACATTTTGTAAGAAAAACAGACCAACATTTTGTACAGATTCTGAAGATACGCAATACAGTGGTCAGTGAAAGACTACTTTGATGAATACTCAGAGTTCATATCAGCTACAGTTATTTGCCTAACAAAAAACATCATGAATATACCATCCCATTTTTGTTTCTGTCATCATGATGATGACTGGATGCCTTGTATAGGGCCCCATGTCTTAGTTGCAAACATTTTGATGCATGGGAGCAGTAGGTTTGGAATTTATGGACTAAACCTTTTATGGACGTAACCTTTTTTACATTGCTGACAGCCAACCTCCATTGAGAGATCTGGTTGTTAATACACTGTAATAAAACAACTTTTTGTACACTTAACAATTTTAGTCACAGACCTGAAGGTGAACAGTGGTGGATATTTACCTCACTGCTTCGCAGCTTGGTGAATATCCACCACTTTCACTGACACTGACAGAAGTGAATAAATTTGTTAGTATATACCACATAGATACCAAAAAATTAGTTTATTTCTTTCAATATACCCAAAACTGGTCAGAAATCAAACTCTTAACATGTGATTTTGTCTCACAGGCTGCATGGAGGTGAATAGTACATAGTATTCACTGAATGGAACCAGCCAATCAGCACATGCAAAAAGCACTATTTACTTGTTTGGTGTGTACTAAAATTGTATATTATATTAACACACTGTAGGTGATGAAACCAAGATAAAAGTTGTTGACTTTGGAAATGCAATTCACTGGGACCATAGAGAGGTACATGTAATTTCTATTATTTGGTGATTTTAGTGACTTAATTTTAAATGTGTGCAGCTAGATGCATCAGAATTGTTGTACTGTAGACTTTATGAACCCTTTACACCCTAACATCAATATGCATATTCTCTACACTGCTCTCATACATTTGCTGAAGCACTGACAAGGAGAATTTGTTTAAAAATCAAGAGCTTTATAAGTTGGTGATCATTTCCTTGATTCCCGTGATCCTAATGTGTGATTCAGGGGTGATATTGTAAGAAGAAATTAGAAGCTGATCAGTCTTAGGGGTTACAGGGTTAAAAGATCCTATTCAAAGTATAATGAAAGGCAAATTCTGTACAGAGGACAAGGGCTCATACCAGCTGTGAAAAACTGTTTACAGAGAATTGTTTACTATGTGTTTACCCCTTTAACATGTAACTTCTCCCTAGAATATCCATACTTTATCCAACAAACAGTTAGTGAGAATAAACAAACTTATCAGGTAGAAGTTCTTATCTTGATCAAGTATCAGATTCTCAAAAGTAATTTATAAGAAAATGTGGGGCAGCTAAAGGAGAGAAGCTACAGCCATTTTGATCACCGTGACAAGTGAATATATATTTGGCTGCTAAAATGTTGACATAAGTCACCAATTATTGGTGACAAACAGATAAAAAAAAAAGAAAAAAGAAAAAAGAGGCAGCCAAAAATTTTTAAATGGTGACCATTTTACATTTGAAGGTTGCCAGAAGGCAACTCTTTGGAAAAATGAGCTTGGAGCCCTGTCAGCCACCATTAGCAATGAAATTTAATAATTATACAAAATATGTAATTTAATTCTTACTTTCTTCTGTTTAATTCTGTCAGGTTTCCTTGTATTATGATGAGTTTGAACTACAAACTTTACTTTACAGAGCTCCTGAGGTAAAGTAAAGATATTGCTGTTTTCATGAATTTGGAGATAAATTTTACATGTAGGTTACTGATGCATGCAACTTCAGTGTTTTCCGAATCAATCCAAGGAAAATAAAAGTAGATTAAACTATTTTATTTGGACTTGCATGAATTGAAGCACTCTCTGAAAGATGATCAGTGAAGTTCTGCCATTTTGTGTTTTATTAAACAACTGAATGCAGCTGGCCTGTTGCAGATGGAAAATTCTGTTCTATGGTGTATCATTTCAAGAAACATATCAGAAAAAAATATTTCAATTCACACAATCATTTTTACCATCATCATTTAAATGGTCTCTGCAAATATTTTATAAATCCAGGTACACAACTTAAATAAACAATTGATTTAACCCTTTAACTCCTAAGAGTGACTAACATCCAATTTCTCCACACAACATCAGCCCTGAATCAAACATCAAGGTCATGAGAATAAAGGAAATGATCACCAACTAAAGACTCTCTCGATTGTTAAACAAATTCTCCTTGTCAGCATCTTAGGAAATGTATAAAGAACAGTATGGAGAATATGCATACTGATGTTAGGGTGTAAAGGGTTAATGTATACAATATAATCTCATGCCAATGAGGCCCAAGTTGTTCAAAGGCCACATAGAACTTTTAACCCTTTCACCCTTCAAGGTGATAAATATCTAAATTTTTTTTACAACATTAGCCCTGAATCAAACATTATGGTTATGAGAATAAAGGAAATGATCACCAACTAAAGAAGCTCTTGATTGTTGAACAAATTCTCCTTGTCAGAGCCTTAGGAAATGTCTAGAGAGTAGTATGGAGAATATGCATACTGATGTAAGGGAGGAAAGGGTTAAGATACATTAGCAAAATAGCAAAAGACGACTTATCCTTTGTATGAGGGAGGAACCATTGGAAAGAGAGCGATGCTAAGAGGTGGTTCAATGAGATGCCTAGAAAAAAAGTATCCTTTCATTTACCTTTCCAACTATTTCTGCCCCCAAAAAATGAATGGTCAAAAAAATCCATAAATAAAATATATTTTCATGGGCAAAAAAATCCCACATAGGAAATACTGTAAGAATCAACACATGTAGGCTCTTTATTCATTTAAACCTTTTTTTTATTGCTTTTAGAGGACAATCACCTGAAATGTGTGGCTAATGTGATGCTAAAACTCAATAATTCAAGAAATTTTTCTTTTGCACGTTTCTTAGTTGGCTTGCTGAAATATAAACCAGGTTAGTATACAGATAGCTTGTGTAACCTTTTACTTGAAACACTTTGTTTGTTAAAATCGTTATCCTGCAAAACAATGCCAAACGCACTGATACGTGAGAAAAAGGAAACAACTTTTGTTCTTTGCTTTGTATCACTATCTCAGGTGAAAGACTTACACCTTATCAAGCTGCTGTGAATCCATTTTTGGCGCCCGAGTGTTCCTATGAAAATTTATTGCCTCAACAAGGAGATAAGAAAACAGGCTTGTTCTTGCCTTCCATTGAACTACATAAATGCAAATTAGCCCTATGCCGTCGCCATGAAATGAACTTCTGAGCAAGAAATTTACTTTTTACATAGGAATCACCTTTTTTACAGTTTCTAGTACTTCGTCGTTTATATAGTGACGACTCTGATTTTTCCGAAAAATCAGAAAACCTGGTTAAAATTTCCAGAAATATTAACTCGGTGGAAGTTGGTTATGATGAAACAACGGGGATAAATTTTTGATCGGCCGCTCCGAAATGGGCTATGAAGTGGGTGAACTTCCGATGCGCACTACGCAAATTTCCCAGGCAGTTCTTCCGACCGTGATGTTGATGTTACGTAGATGTCTAAGATTTTGCCTCCACTACACAACCGAACACACAAAACAACACTTGGAGGCATGGGCGCGTCGGTCAGCCAGGCCCTTGATACGTTTTATTAACTCACGTGTAAAAACTCCACCGCCATCTCGGATAGGACGTAAAACCGTAGGTCCTGTCTCCTGCAGGGTTAGGGGCAGGAGACGTTAATTTTCCACGCACGAGATTACTGTGTGGTGGATGTCCTCCCTTGGGGTGGGATGGGTGAGATCGTTACATGGACTGAAGCGGCTGCCAGAGGCGCCTGATAAAATGCTGACGTCCTATCTCAACCTTACAACAACTCGCAATTCAGCACTAATTGCTGCAAGTAGTTGTTTCGAAATAAACTTAAACTACCTTATTTACAGTAATTCTAAGAACACGCCACGGCCGGACACGTAAACCCGAAAAAAACAACTATTGGAAAAATAGGGACCGTGTAACCCCAACCCATGCCATGGCGTCGCCTTTGGGGTTATAAGGCGAAACTAATGAAAACTAAGGCTAACAGAGTTAGTGAAAACTAAACTAAACAGAGCAAGATTACGTGGTGAGGCCGACCGTAGAATGACACGCATAACTAACCGGTCACTATTTCAAACCCCCTTACCGCGCTCTCACGCGTGCTACACCAGAACCCAGTTCATCGTTCCGTGCCGGTAAAATAATCATTTATGTTAATTCTTATTTACACAAATTACATTATTCTTCATCGCTGTCGATTGAATCGTCCCTGATTTTGGGTCTTTCCGATAAATCAGCGATAGCTTGAGGAAAGCACTAATCCTGCCATGCGTGGCTTTTGTGGAGAGCCCTTTCGTATAATCATCGAGTCCTTTCAAGCACTCAGCCGTATTCTGTCACTATTTATGTTTATGACTCTCGCTTCTGAGCGGCTGTTTACCGATAGAGAATTATGTGGAAAGCTGATTGTTGCGCTTAAATAAGGTATCTTGTTGTGGCTATTGTTTACCAGACGCCATGTTCATAAGCTTATGCACTTGTTTGTGCTACGTAAAACAACATTCCCCACACACACCGCGATGACTGAAACATTTTGCGACAAGAACAATACACAGCACTGGTAAGAGACCACTAAACTGAATTTAACTACGCAGAAAGGTAGTTTAACATTAACCAAACTCGGCTATAAAATTTATTGTTCTTCAGTGAATTTCTATGGTTACTGTTAACCCAGTTTCAGTTCGATAAAACGCCAAAAAAGCGGCCTCATCACGATTTTTCGGTAAAACCGGTTAACTTCAATTGACAGATTAGAAATAACCCGGTTAACTCGCTATTAAGTGTTATCTCTTTTTTATTTTTTTGTTCAAAATACACAGAACTTTGAGTTTTTTCGTTTTTGTGTTATGAACTTGTTTATTGCCACAACACAGCGGGCAGCGCAGTGAATGAAGCAAGACTTGTTTCATCCGGCATCTCCCTGGAAGGTGTAGGGTAGTTAATTGTAAGTTTGATTAAGGTATTAGGAAAACCTTTATAAATCAAAATAAATTCAAATACCTCTGTTGTGTTATTTGTAGATGCTGGAAGCTGCGCAGACATTTTGTTTTTTGTTTGAGTATAACTTCAAACCATACGTTGACGAGGAAGTTAAAAGGCAGCATTTTTCTGGAACTGAACTCTTAAAGAAGGGAACTACTGTAACTGCTTCTTCACCAAACCACTTTCAGAGCAAACCGGAGAATGCAACATCTCTGAGGACTGGAAATCTACATTTTTCTCAAACAGAAAAGGTGACAATTAATGAGGAATCTCATCGGGAAGACCAGTTGCCTCTAGAAAATTTCAGTTATGCCATGGAAGGTCCTCTTGCCACAGGATACCCTAAATCAACTCACCAACAGAACGAGACGTGTGCCGTTTTTAAAAGTAATGCATGCACTGATGATATAGAAGAAGAACGTAAACAGGTCACGGACAGGCTCACCTCTACTTTCCTGACGGCGACAAATCTTTCTTTGGGAAAAATTTCTGAAAAAAAAGTAAAGTGTCATGAGAAGGATTATTTGTCAGCAGGAACCAATATTACTTGTCCTGATAATGCGTTCGAAAGACCTTCAGCGAGACTCGTAAATAACAAAAGCTCCTGTTCTAAGCGCAAAATCGATGTCTTTAAAGGCACTTATTTAAAAGACGGAAGCCGCCAAAAGTCTCTTGAACTTTCTTCATCTGGGGTCAAGAACTTTAGAAGCACAAACTTACCCGAGCATCACAACAGATTTAATATTCCTGGAAATCTAGGATTTTATGTGGGCAATTCTTCCTCTGGTGGAGCGACAAATGCTTCCGCAAGAACTCGTGTCTATCATAGGAAAACAAAATCTACCAAAGCAGAGATTGGGTATACTAAACGTGACGGTCTCGCTGCAGTCCAAACGGAGCAAATTGTAAATGAATCTCCGTGTTGGGCGGCAAAAGCAACTGTAACATGATGTAAATCTTCGAGCGAATTTGAGAGCGGGATAGGTTCGTGACGTGTATACGCATTTTGTGGGTGTCTTTTTCTAAATGCGCGTGCGTTTATTTGGAAGAGATTTCCGGTTGATGTCCATGCTCCTTAATTTGGCAGTTGATCTACTTTTTCATGTATCAATTAATGACATGTAGCTAGGTTGTGGCGACCAGTCAATCAGTTAGGCAGGCAGGTAGGCAGTTGAGCTACATTTCAGAACGCTGTAGAACGTGAGGAGACCTTGATTCCCAAAAATAAAACCGATTTCAACTCTATGAACGTGTACGATTGCAGTTGTTTAGTAAGTGCATACCTAAACATAATGGTTACGACAAAGAGATGGGTTTATGGCACCTGAAAAATGATTCACGATACTTCAACACCTGGGTAAGAAACGCTAACGGCGACCTAGTCAATTTTTTCCATTTTCCGGGGGCAGTTAGACAAAAGGAGAGAAGGCAAAGGTGGAGAAGGTTATGTCATCGAGGTGACTCGTTTGTGTGCACGAATGACAGCTACGTTTGTAGTCTACATTTCGTCGGTGGAAATGGTCCAACAGAAGAGGATCCTGATCCCATATCTGCTGTAGCTAGTAAAGAAAGGGCAAGTTAATTCAATCATTCTTTTATATCACCATGCCTAGGTGTCGCGACTCGTAATTTAAAGGCATCTTGCGAACGAGAAGCAGACAAAGAGAGGTGCATGAAAGTTTGCCTTGAACGATCAGTAGCAAAAACCCTTCTGACACTTGATCGTCAAACTCGTAAATCGATAGAGGAATACGCAGCAGTTAAAGCCCTTTTAGATCTGAGCGTAGAGCCAGTAATGAGTTCAGGAGAGCAATTCAAATAATGTCGTAAAATTCAAACGGCGGCGACGCGTTAAAATTGTTAACAGTCTTTAGGGTATAAGCATATCATGAATTATTAATTCGCCTAAAGCAGGGACGTCGCCTTTTCGAAATTTGGATCCACTGGCAGAACCATTTTTTCGACTGCGGTGGTGATTTCCATTGACGAGGTTTTCAAGTATCCGCTCGCTGAAATCCCTCGTTCTTGTAGATATTTTTTAAGCTCTGCCACACTCATTGCGTTGAAATCAGCTTTACTTTTGTGATATGCCATTCTTAAGTTTAACTCTTCTTGTAGGTTGTTCTGAGTTTCGCAGAATTTCCCATTTGCGTTACTTAAGGTTAAAAAAATCGGTACATTAATCAGCTAAGGATACGTAATTACGTGCAGGAATTAAGGCTTCCTCACGTTCTACAGCGATTCGTGGGCACTAATTTCCTGTCGGACGGGGATTTATCTGACAATCTACGCACTAAAAACCTTGAAAATACCTGATCAGATACATCACTGTACGCAGAACTAGTTCAACTATTCCATGCCGCAACGCCTTTTGTAACATTCTTCGCATCTGCTTCCACGGCAGCGAAATGACAACTTGCTTAATAAACGATCAAATAAATGACGAAAGAACGATGTCAATTTTGAGCGAAGAGACGCTTCTTGAAAGTGGGAAGTTATTTAAGAAAAATTTCCAAAGCCGAAGCTCGGACACATATGCTGCGAGCTCGACTCAATGTCCGAACTTTCAGGGTTTGTTTACATCAAAAGTCATGTGATACTACACGTGAAATCTAAAGCCCAAAAGGTGAATTCTCTCTGTTGGCTCGAAACGGCAGCTTTGGAACTCTCTGCGGTGGCCAATTTACGTCATCAACTCAGTTGAAAATACTAGAGTACTTCTTAGCTGTAGTTTACTTTTAGCGGGGAGTAAAGAAGTTATGATTTTCAACATTTTTGCCTTATTTCATTCCTTTTGCCCCAAGAAACAAGGCAACTAATCTTTCCTACCCTCATTTAAGTCTGGTTCCTTATAATCCCTCAGATCATCTCGCTTTTTGCCGAGTGACTATGACATAACGACAATCAAGACATTGAGAACATCGTCATTACAGAAAGCCAACATCGTCTGCAACTCTTTGGCGATTGAAAATATTGAGACATTGCTTCTTTCGAGCGCCATGTCTGAATTTTGAAATAACTTTTTCAAAGCATTTTCTCTTTTTCTGTTTGTTTTTTTTATGTTTTATTTTGTATTTTATCGTAGGAGGTGATGTTACTTGGTGAGGATGGACAAAGGAGTTTCTGATATTTTTAGCTTTGTGATTTGATACCTGTAAGAGTATAAAAATATAGTAAAAGATTTTTAAAAGTAGATTTAAAGTGACTGTGGATTTTGTGGTGGGGTTCTTCATTACGTCATGTGCTATTGAGCTCTTAATTCAGATGTATGTGAAATATTCGTCTAACTATGCGCAGATCAATCGTCACGGCATTAATTACTTTCAGAACCTTGCGGCGGCGCAAGGATTCGCTCTCCATTGAGGAGAGGGACAAAGTTAAAGGAATTGGGATGAAGACCAGCAAATATGTTTTTCTATGGTCAAAAAAGACAGCGGTCGTTCATTCCTTTCTTATGCTCCATCGCAAGAACTGCATTTTTGTTCTCTAGAACAGTTGCTGCAACTTTTTCCTTGTCTTCCAAACTGAGAACACCAGTCAAAAAATTAGCCGACAGGGTTTCTGGTATCAAATAATCTTATTCCGAAATGAAACTACTAAACACATCGAAAACGACTAACATAATGCTAATTAAGTCAAAATACTGATCTACTTGTACCCGACTTGACTTTCGTTATGATACATTACGAAGGTCTACTAAGAACAGATTGCAAGAGAGATCATTAACTCGTGGTTTTGGTTGTCAGTGATAAAACAAATATTTCACATTTTTCTGTTTTTTCTCAGGTTCAATGTTCGATAGCCCGTGTCCTCCTAAATTGGCTGGCTATTTCTCATTTTCATCCTTTAAATAACGCTCTACAGTGGGCCGTAACTTTTCCTAGCTTCTCACACATTTCTCCACTTTGAAACAAGTAATCACGCTCTGATTCAATTAGAGGGTGAATTTCCTTAGAGATGCACTCGACTCTCCCAAACATTAGGCGCATACATCTCCTCGAGGACTTGATACAGAATGTCATGAATCCTTAAATGGGCTTCATCTGGCAAATGTGTATGTGTACCTACAGGCTGTTTGTGATCGTGGGGTGTGCAACATGACCCTTGGGTGTTTCTAGGACGTGGTGAGGGAATTGGATGGAGAAGGATCTTGTGGCCTTAACGCATACGCTTTAGTAGAGCTTTCATGGATGGTCTTTGAAGCAGGTTCTGAACTAAAATTGGTTACTGATGGGGTTGTAGGCGTGAGCAAGGTGACGTTTGTGCCCTTAGTATAAACGGTAAAACAGACAACGTTTAAGCCAAAGCCTGAGTAGAGTAGGAGAAGAGAAGTCTTGTGGCTCCGTACAAAAAGACCACCTCTGCGCATTTTCGGAATTTAAATAATTCGTATGAGATCCTAGGCTGATACTATTTAGTGAAATTACAAACAAAAACTTCCACTAGAGAATACATAGTTCAACTCTCAACAATGTAAACAACAAAGCTTTCACACTCACGGCAAATTAGTTAATTACCCACTAGGAACCTGTGATGGCCTTGTCTTTGTTAGCTACTTTGTCACGCTAGACTGAGCAAACTTTGCGAAGCGCTCTTATTGTTGCTATGTGACGTCATACTAGCAGTGTCTCGATGGCGGCGCATCCAAGAGAATAACGGAATCACCCCTCCCTCCTGGTTCAAAAAGATATCTAAAAGGCATACCTCAAAACGCCGGCAGTAGACGACTGCGAGTAGCTGATGATTGACCACGAAAATTAGTATTGTGTGTCACGCTGATGGTTAGAAGTCTAATTTGTTTTCCTTCAACTTAAACCCTTGAGGAACTGATAGAATGGTATTCCTGGAGCAACTATTCCTTAACTAGCACCTGACGATCTGATTTGAGTCGCAACGCAAAGGAGAAGTGAAGTTTGCATTATTTCCATTTGCGTATTGTTACCAATCTAAAGAGGAGAGCAATATTATCCAATGAAGCTGGTGAAGTATAACTCTGTGTGTCAAAACAAGCCTGGTAAATTAAAGCTTACGTGTTTACCGAGCATTGAGTCAGCGCCGAGGTGATCAATTATCATTGAATTTAGCTTTTTGACCAAAAAGAAACATAAAATACATACAGAGAGGCTAAATACACCAGCAATATGTTTTTTTCAATTGAGCACGCGTACAGCAATAAATCCTGCAATCTACTTGGTTCTTAGAGCGGGCAAGATTTTGTCACGGGCAACGATAACACCTCGCCAAATCATCATGTGAATCTATTTTCGGGAATGAGCCGACAGTAATTGTCATTCTTCGGCTTTTTTTTCTTCAAATTAAAGTCAGAGAGGATTTGCTTTCTTCCTTCTTATTGGGGGCTCAGCCAGTGCTCTAGTTTATAAGCATATTTCGTTGAACCCAACCATTAGAGAGAGTCTGAGGGAATTTGAAGAAAAAAATCAGAATTGTCAATGTTTAGGGTCTAGGTTTAAAAGGGCAGATAACAATATGCAACTGATAAATTGCTTTCCAGCGGAAAAGTGATAGCAAAACGTACACCATCCACCGGGTAGAGATTTATACACTGCGGGATCTCGTTATCCAACCCTCGAACAACTGTAGCCAGATCTTTCAAGTAGGTAGATTATGACGGTAATTAAGTATGAACAACTGAGTTGATAACCTAAATTGGCCACTGTAAAGAGTTTAAAAGCTGACGTTTCGAGCGTTAGCCCTTTGCCAGACACATTGGAGGAATTGTGGGTTGCATTTTTGTGTGTGGGTTAATATGCAGAAATGGAGCTACGCTATCGGTGGGAATATGGTGGAGAACAAGAATAAATTAGAGAAATATGTTTTCCTTCTTGTCACGAGC